GAAGTCCGAACGAAGTCTTTTGCATTTTACAGCGGGTGAATCTGTTGTCACTGGTGATTGTCATTTGAACCTTTCTGGATCCGCCATCAAATTGATAAGTTTAATTATATCAAGTGCTGTAAGAAAAGGCTATAAATCTGCACCTCCAACATCCTCACACACAATATAGCCTACTAGCCGAGACTCCTTCTTTATGTGTACAGATGTGACGTAATGACGCAAAGACATGCTCGAATTTCTTGCGGAAATCCACCAGTACCACTGGAATTAAAAACATTATTACAAGCTTACCGCTTTGAATCGAGCTAAGGCAAGCAGAGAGTTTTGAACTCTGGCTGGTTATGTATTTTCTCAAATATGTATTTTGGATAATTTTTAACCCCCCCAAAAAAGCTACTTTAAGTAATTACTCACTAAAAATGTAAACATTGGCTCTATCTCTCCTATATAATAATAAAAACAAAATAAAATATAATGACTAATGCCTAATTAACAGCCCACAATAAGAGAAGATTAGTCATGAACAACTTAACTTATTTGAGTTTGTTTACACCTTTAAGTCCCAAATGGTGCCTTTACAACATTGAAGACAAATCAGTGCAGTTACTTATACAATATTTTAAAACCAAAGAAAAAAATCATCTGACATTGCTTAGAAAGACAGACAGAAAGTAAGAAAGGGAAAAGAAAGGGTCAGACATACAGAAGGAACAAGGCAGAAGTAGAAAAGGGGTCAAAGGGGTGCTGGTTAGTGAGTATACTTCAGTTCTGTTACAGTTGGATGAAAGATGACAGGTGATGATTTATACTCTCATTTAATATTGTTCTTACAATGTAAGGGTCTGGCTGCAGGCAGGGTGACCTTAAGACTTCCTGTCCAAAAAAAGAACAGTTATCAAAGCCGGCCATTTCATTATTTTGCTATTAATTTGAAAATGTGAGGAGAACTTTGCCAATAGATTTATATAATATAGATTAGGCAATAAAACAACATATATATTTTTTAAATATTTACGAATCATATTCATTACTGAAACCCACAAGCAGCAAGCCAAAAACATTATATTTTACATTATACATAATATTGTATTGCCTCTAATCAGAGAAAATGCATTTACTCTAATTATATGTGATCATTCGTTCAACTGAAGAGGAAAAACTGGGCACAGAGATCCCGAGCCTGAATGAATTGCTCCGATGTTCAATAGAAGTGAAAGGAAGTGAATAGAGGTGCATCAGCGGGGTGCGGGCTGTGTCGCCACACTATGGCCCTCTCTCTACAGGTAGCGACTGCTGGCTGTGTGGTTGCCAGGTTACAGACAGAGCAGGGCGTCAAAGAAGTAAATAAAAGTGCTGAGGGACAGCCTGCACACACACACACAGTGAAAAGACACATCTTACTCCCTCAAAACAGTGCAGATCACATAGGGATTTGGCTGTTGTTTCAAGCTGTGAAGGGGGCGCCAGAGAGCATAAAGCATCACAAACTAACAGCTACATAGTTTATGATTTTTTTTAAAATATGTATATGAGTTTTCCTGTTCAGTGTGATGTCTAATGTACCCACACTTGTTAGTAACTGCCTTTTTCAAGACATGTAAAAGCTTTACAAAAAATCATGATTGGGAATAAAATATAACAGAATAAAACATGGAAATACTTTGAGCTTTTGTTAACCACATACCTTAATTTAGGCATTTAACCAAAAACTCTTTTAACCCAAAAGACCCATTCAAAAAACCCAATGACTTTGTGAAAACTGAATCGGAGTTTTAGGACTCATTCCTGCAGAACTCTGTAAATAAAAATATTACAAAATTACCCTTAGTGGGCTTGAATGGTATTTGTATGTGCATATAAGCATACAGACCGTTTTTATGTTTATATATCAGCATACTATCAGCAAACTAAATCAGCATACTATGATCTGAAAAAGTATTGCAAGAATTAGATGCTTTGTTTCCAGTCAAGACTTAGAGAAACTTGTGCATGCTTTTATCACCAGCAGGGTGGATTATTGTAATGGACTCCTCACTGGCCTTCCTAAAAAGACCATAAGACAGTTGCAGCTCACACAGAACGCAGCTGCCAGGATTCTGAGCAGAACCAGAAAATATGAACATATCACACCAGTCCTCAGGTCTTTACACTGGCTCCCAGTTACATTTAGGATTGATTTTAAAGTACTATTACTGGTATATAAATCATTTAATGGGCTAGGACCTCAATATATTGCAGATATGCTCACTGAATATAAACCTAACAGATCACTCAGATCATTAGGATCACATCAGCTAGAAATACCAAGGGTTCACTCTGAGTCTGCTTTTAGCTATTATGCCAGCCGCAGCTGGAACCAGCTTCCAGAGGAGATCAGATGTGCTCCTACAGTAGTCACATTCAAATCCAGACTCAAAACACATCTGTTTAGCTATGCATTTACTGAATGAGCACTGTGCCACTGTTCGTCCGACTGTTTTTACAGTACTTTATTTTATTTTTTATTCTAAACTGTTTTAATTATTCTTATTTGTTTTGATTATTTTAATTTCTTCTATGCAAAGCACTTTGAATTACCATTGTGTATGAAATGTGCTATATAAATAAACTTGCCTTATATATGCTTTGTGTAGTTTAAGTGCAGATTTTTACAACATGTATGCCTTTACAACAGTATCCACGGTTTCAGCATAGTTGATAACTATGATAAAGTATTATAAGGGCGAGTATAAAGCACACGCTGCATCCGAATGCATAGAATTCGAAAAACAGTAGGTGAAAAGTCCTACTTCTGCCAAGATTCTTAAGTGAGCATTCGATGGACTATCCCGTGAGGCCATGGGAGGGGATTTATGAATGGAAGTGAAGCAGGGTATTTGATGCTGGTAGGTCACTTGACCAGAGCCGATACGCACACTACGCAAGTTGCGTAGGGCCCCGCAAATTACTCAAGGCCAGCCTCCCCCTCGTGTCAAAGCGCGTAACTCAAAATTTACAACATCGATGAGAAAATTAAGCAGAACTATTCTTCTGGTAACGAAAAGAGAGAGAAAAACACCATGAGAGTGAATTGCGGGAACAGCAATCAGGTAGACTTGTGTTCTCTCCTCTCCAAGTTTGATGTCAGAAAAGAACAGTAAAGTTAAGTTGATGTGCATCTCCCTCGAGTCTAGTCTGTCTAACCCAGCTGGGCAGTGCATCTTTTGGTCTGTCTGTGTCTTGCCTATGGACCTTTGGTCACTTCCTGTTTTTTAGGCAGCACAAGACTAATAATGACTAGTCTAAATGATGTCTGCTCAGTCTCTTTATACTTCACTCAGTGTCACATTCCACCACTCAAGGTACTGCTGGTGCATGATGGGAAAAAGATCACATGACAGCTTCGCAGGGTGCATGTGTCGGAGTGGCAGGGTCTCTGTCAGGAAGTGTGAGAGACTGCCGTGATGGCAGCAGGGGTCCAACCGCTAGTCTGATGAGCTCCGATTAACTGCTAATGCTTTCACTCCGCTGACCTACACAGGATTGGGCCCTGTCATTAGCTACACACACACACACACACACACACACACACACACACACACACACACACACGTGGAATTTCCATTTACTTGCCATTTGTTGGGCTAAAATGGATTTCGGCATCTCCAGCAGTGCCATCAGTTGTCTAACACGTGTTTGAACGCAGGAAATGGGTAAGGTAAGAAAAGCACAAATAGCTACAACAAATATCAGCAGGCCTCTCCACTATCTGACCGGCACATCTCATTCCTAAATCCATTCCCTTCCTCTTTTATTCCTTTAGTCTCCTGCTGTCTTTCAGCCTCAGATCCTTTTCCTTCTTATCCTCAGGGCATTTCTTTCTGCTCGCTCTGTTCTTTAATCTTAAGAGAAGACATTATCCGAAGCACATCTCACTGCAGGGCTGTCTCGTTCACTGCTGTTCCTCCCATTCAACAAAGAGGGCCGCCGCGGTACAAGAGCTGGGTCCAACACAGCATCGTTAAACATACAGCTGAAGCAAAGATAAATTAATTTTATAGTGTCCAGCTATTGATTCTTCACTATGTTGTTCATTGCCTAATTGATCTCTGCGGCTCCGTCAACTCCTAAATGTACTGTTTAGCTAATATCCGCATCTTTGAAACCTTCAGGCCATCAATGGGAGTCATGCAGATTCAGTTAAGTTCAGTCTGTCAATAAAAGCTGTTTGCTGACGAATCTCTGAGGAATGACAGTAGTGATGTTTTTCAAGATTTTAAACTTCAGCTGCAACGCACCATATGGCAGGACTAATCAAATGGATATTGTCCATAAACATCTATTACCCATTACGTGGCCTTGCATTACAACTACTGTATTAAGTTTGAGCTTACAGATGGCACTCTAAACACTAAATATGAGTCTCAAAAGATGATTGTTTTGGAAGAAAGAGTAAATAATTAGAAGTAGGGATGCACAATATATTGGTGCCATAGTGGTTATCGGGTGATATTAGAGATTTTGATTTATTTCTTCAGCATATCAAAATTAATATCCATTTTTAATACTGTACATTAATGTTGTGATGCCTAATTTTACTCTAAATTTACATTTAAAATGGTTGATTCCAGTATTATAATGTTTTATTTTAATTTTTTAGACAAAATAGTATAGAATTTTAATATCAGCCATTAATCGGTTAACATAAAAATAATCACTGTCTTATCTGTATCGGCCAGCATATTAATATCAGTGCATCCCTAATTAGTAGGCTTTGTGCTGAAAGTTTCAGTGTTGTAATGTGTTAAGCTGCATTTTTGTGTCCAGGGGAGAGACATGACCTTTTTGTTCTTACCAGTGAGACCAAACATACAGTTCACCCTCTGGCCCTGTTAAAGGTCACTAAACTTCAGGTCCTCCCAGACTACATATGCCATATAAAACCACAGACTACAAGTTCTCAATAATTAGGACACATGCTTCATTTCTGAACACATGCATGCCAACATATAAAAACTTACGATGATGAGGAATATGAAGTAGATGAAGTTGTAGAAGGAATGAGCGTCCATGACGTAGTACATGATCTCCACCCAACCCTCTAGCGTGATCACCTGCACAGACCAGATCAGACCACATTCAGGCTCTTTATACACCTGTCGTTAGTTGAGACAAACTGCTGTTCACGATGAAGATGCGTCTACTATTTGTGATCGGATTTCGAGGGAAGAATCTATCTATATAATGTATATGCATATAAGAGTTAGAAGTGTTAAGAGTGTAATCTTTTGTTAGATTAGTCTTAATCACACTTAATATCTTATGCCATTTTGTTCAATTCTCATGAAATGCAAAAAAGAAGGATATAAGAGAATACAAGTTATTTTCCTAAACCTTTGTTTTAGAACAGTGGATGATTGACAAATGTGAAGGTGGTCTTTCTCTTTTGTCCAAACGCATCAGGATAGATTAGCATTTGCAACACACTACACATGCAGTTCTGACTTCATCTGAACATGCATTGGATCACATTTACACTTATATTTAGTGCTGCTGATTTATGATAGGATCACCCAGAATTTAAACAAATGGCATTTGGCTCCGTCTCATACCTGAAATATGACGATCCATGCGTAACCTATGTTGTCAAAACTAATCGCTCCTTTATGTGGGTTGGTGTGTCCTGTATGACAGCGGGTGTAGTACTGGTTCCAGTTCACACAGAGTCCCACTGCAGAGGCACTGCCATTGACCAACGGCTCCGCACTCAGACCCAGGGCCTGACGGTGCAGCGCGTCCTCTTTATCTAGACAGCACTCCCGTCCGCCCTCTCTCCGAGCGGGCACATCGTTGCAGGACATGATGCCATTATCCTGAGCAAGAGAGCAGATGAAGGGCCGCTCGTCATCCTCCTCAGGCCGATAATATGGGGCGGGGAGGGTGATGCCAGATGTGCTGAGGACAAGACGAGAGGAGAAGTCAAGGTTTTTGGAAATACAGTGTTAAAAACTGCACAAAATGAAAATGCATTAAATATGTATATAAATAATTAATATAAACATACATATATACATATGCAAACTAGGGATGTACGAGACTAGCCGACTAGTCGATTAAACAATACTGCTGCTGCTAGTCGACTTGGGAATACTAGTCGTTCACTTTTTTTTGCACATTTAATGTTTTGCTTTATATTTTTACAAAGGCTACGTTTAAATTACCGGCATGTAAATGTTACATCTTAAAATTAATATATTATTTTGAAATAAGTATATTTTACAGCGGAAAACAATCTCAGATTTTGCATTGCAGATTTTGCATGCGTTGGTTTTCACTCGCGGTGGTTTAGAGAAATGTCCACTCGGAAGATGAGCAAGGTGAAGGATTATTTTGAAAGCCTACACAAAACTTCTCTGGGTTTTTTTCTATGTCATGTCAAACTAGTATAAAAATGAAGCTGACTTATTGGCTTGTTATATTACCGGTTATGAGGGACAATATGGTATGACATTTTATATCATCAGATTAAAGGAGAAACAGCATGAATGAAACTTACTTGACACTTGAACAGTTGCTATATCAAAATTGCATGTATCTGACCTGTTTTTAGCGACATTCAGTATGGGATTTGACTGTTCATAGATTAAATAGTCTATTTCATATGGATCGCATTTACAGACTGACTCCGGAGGGCAGGGTTAGACTAGTCGATTGCAAAATTTCTGTTTAAACGTTAATGAAATTAGTTGTTGCGCACATCCCTAATGCATGCAGACACACACACACACACACACACACACACACACACACACACACACACACACACACACACACACACACACACACACACACACACACACACACACACACACACACACACACACACACACACACACACACACACACACACACACGTTGTCTCACATATATGGACAGATAGAGAGACAGACAGACAGAACAAAACAAGGACAGAACGAAAGACAAACAGACAGATAGATAGATCAATCGATAGATAGATAGATTGATTACACACAATTTTTTGTTTATTTTTCTTATTTTCTAACAAATTTTTGTAAGGTTTGTGCTTAAAACAAGGGGGAGAAAAACCAATAAGAAAACTAATTTCTATATACAGTATATGTTTTTTTTTTCTTATTTATTTTGCATTGGTAGAACTAGAATCATTGTCCATCTATAGATCTCATCTAGTGAGTTGCCACTTGTTGGCCTAAGAAAAATTTAAGTGTTTTTTTTAAGGATAGCTGAAAGCTCTCTAGGTAGACCCGGAGAGATCTGAGCAGTATGCAGTATGGACTCACTCTATAACAGAGCAACTGAGCTTGTGTAGTGTACACGTGTGAGAAGCCCATTTCTCTGGGAGTGACCCATTGAGGGCAGCCAGCCCCTTAATCACAGTGTTTTACTGCCCAGAAATAGCTGTTTCCATCAGCCACTCACCCTCTCATTCATATAACAGGGTCACAATGACTATTTACCCTCCCTTTCCTCCTCTCGCTCGCTCGCTCGTTTTTATCCTCTTTCTCTGTTTCTCTCACACATATCCATGTATTTGCAGCAACATGCAATGCATTTTTCGGCACAGTACAGATAAGCATAGCACATGCAAGCCACAGTCACACTGACCAATCAATGCCTCTATTGCTTTGCGGTCTAGACCGTTAATCTAAATGCATGCACACACACACACACACACACACCTCCCATGACAGTCATTGGATGCCAAGAAAGGATTGGTTCATCATCCCCAGGGTGTAATTCTCCCCATTTGGACGGAGGACTCCTCCGCTGACTCGCAGCTCGATAAAACCCAAGAATGTTTCTGCTGTCATGGAGGACATTTTTCCTTTGCCCTTCAACAACACGGCAGCCAAAAGATCGGAACCATTCGATACCAGTAATGAGCAATGGTATATCAGGCTACACCAGAAAAAGCCATTTGTCTAGGTAGACCACCGTGGTGACACTTGTGCGAGGATATGCGTGTGCACATTTCCAACTCACAAAACTAATCAATGCCTGTGATGTGGCAAATTGAGCCAATGAATCAAACATCATACAGACCAATGAATTCCCCCATTGGCTTTGTACGGCACACACTGAGATCTCTCCTATAAACGTCAGTCTCCATTTTCAGGAGGACAGTCAAGCCGGACTGCGCGGCACTGCTTTACTTAAAGAGCTCAGTGGTATGGCGACAACCGGAGGGGTTGGGAGAGAAAGACAGAGAATCAGTAGGTCTGTCATAGATCTGTCAGGGCTCTGCAAGGAGTGCTGGAGTGTGAATGATGTTTGTGCCAGTGCCAGTGCTCGGGCACAGCATGGCAGCGCACTAAGACGCACAGCCCAGCGTGGCACACCGCTAACACCCCACTGTGGCACAAAATGCCATTCCACTGCCAATGAGACTGCTCTCACACATGGCGATAATTGACCAATGACTGACAAGCTGTTTGTGGGTCGCCGCAGGTGGGTGGGTGTTAAAGGTACAATATGCAGGATTTTTGCAGTAAAATATCCAAAAACCACTAGGCCAATGTTATATATTTTGTTTAGTTGGTTACTTACAATATCCCAAATGTTTCCAACTATTTGTAAATCGTGAGAAAATTGCGATTTTAACCAAGGAAACGGGGCGTGTGAGCAGGGGTGAGGGAGTCGCCAGTCAATGGCGTCATATCCGCGTTACCCCCGGTTTCCGCCAGGTTTGACCTCGTACTGCAATAGTAACCATGGCGACAGACGTTGACAACTGGGTTATGCCGGTTATGCCTGGAAGGACGCTCACACTGCTGTTGTTTTGTTCAAACATTATGGACCATGGCAAGCAGACTTTGAGACAAAAAGAGGACTAAAAACAAAGATCAACATCTTTCGAGATGCCGAGAGCTCCACGTCCGCAACTAACTTTGACTTGACAGAGACGCGAGTGTTGCATGTTACTTTATTAGACAGGTGAGCAAATGTACATAAAACTAATCAATGTTATGTAGTTCAACATGATGAAAGGTTAGAATATGATCTGTATGTTATTCTCTAATGTTAATCTAGCTTAGTCTCATACAGCCAACAAACAACCTAACTAACAACATTCCACCCACAAATGCCGTTTAGTGTGATAGTGTAACTATTAGAGCAAGTGAAACAGCGCTGCGTTACCTCAAGTTTAATTCGTCTAATAAACTGGCCTGTGTGAGTAATAATTCAGCACTTGCGTGTAGTTCGGTAGAATAAAATGTCCTTATTCCTTTATATCCGCGGGACTCGCGTTGCGTGTGGCGCTGGTATACCTCTAGCAATCGCGCCCTGCTTCACACCACAGTCATGTTTAAAACATCACTGTATTCACTCATCCATAAAAGATCCATCAGCTTGACGACAAGATCCATAATTCCGCTTAATGCGGAAAATACGTCATTAATATAGACCTTTGTTATTGTAAGAGGTTAGCGACCCCAGGTGGCGAAAAATCCTGCATATTGTATCTTTAAGGAATGCAGTATAAATCGAGCCCTGGAGATCAGAATCTAAACTGTATGTTTGGTGCCTCTAGCTCAGTTAACATTGATGGTCTTAAAGTCGGCATGAAATTAAAACTCTATTTTCTAGGGGTGTAACGATACACTGTTACATCGAGATATAAAAATGTAATGATATGTATATCGTTGATGTAAACGATGTGATTTGCAATATAGTTTTATCCAAGGCTCAGCTTACAGTTTAATTAGGTATAATTCACCCAAAAATGTAAATTCTGTCATCATGTACTTACCCTCATGTCGTTTCAAACCTATAAGATTTTCGTTTAACTTCCAAAATAAAGATATGTTTTATGAAACCCGAGAGACTTCTGTCCCTTCATTTAAAGTCCATTCATCTAAAACTTAAAAGATTCCAAAAATGTCATAAAGGCATCGCAAAAAAAACAAAAACAATCGAGTGTTCTAATCCAAATCCAAGTCTTCTGAAGAGACGTGATGGCTTTATACAGTATGAACATGCATAGGCTACTGTAGTAAACACGGACATTCAAATGCTTGCGTGACGTGTGAAAACAACATGAGAGTGAATAAATGCAGAATTCAAATTTTTGTATGAACTAACAATATAGTTTGGGAATAGTCATTTTTACATGCTTTAGTTTCAAGCGATTAGAACTGTGATTGATTACATTGATCATCTGAAGCGCACGCGCTGGAACGGCACTTCTCAAAGTGTAAGCGCAAACATCATTAAAATAACCATATCACATTCAGCTTTAGTAGTATGGTTATTCAGAGCATTTTAGATTGTTTATTCTTATTTTTATAGTGCATTAATAGCGGGTGAGGCGGGACATAGTGAGCACCGGGAGAGTCTGTGCGTATGCGGCTTGTCTAGATCCAACAAACGACTGCATTGAAAACGTGAGGACTGCGTGAGGAAAAAATTCAAGTTTACAGAGTTTCAGTGACATTGCTACATTAAACGACAATATTTATAATGCAATGTGGGATTTTTTTTGTGGGTCCTGATAATAATACATTATTTTTATAATAATAATAATAAAATAGTAAAAATAAAAAACCTCTCTTTATTTTGGCTTAAAATATCGTCATAAGTATCGTATTATGAGTTCAGCAAATGATTCGTCCATGCATGTATTATTTTTTTGGCTATTCATTTTTAATCCAAATATTATAACTCAGATCTTCCTGATGCAAATGACACTTCCTTTTGGTGACGAATGTCAGAATTATCCATCCGCTTATACTGTACCTCACCACATCACAAAACAAAAGCAAGCTCGCATTTATTTTTGAGTGCAATGCCCACGTCAAAATCAATTAATAATAGAACCAAGTTCCCGTCTTACAGCGTTTCTTTTTCAATTAAATGTTACACTCGGATGCACTTCAATATGGAGGATCTGTCTCTACTTCTGTTTCATTGAGACTTTAAAGCAGCAACTATTTAAAAGGAGCAAAATGTCTAAAGTTGGCTAAATGGCTGAAATTTATTATATTGATTACATATACTTATATGTAAAACTTTGAAGTAATACATTATGGTATGTAAGTTTTGATAATCGGAAATCATCCGGAAATGAACAGCAGCTAACTGTTGGTATAGTTACATTGTTATGGTTACGTAATGTTTGAAGCCAAATAAAAAAAGTTCTTGTTCTTGTTATCTAACATTTGCAGTAAACGTCTGCAAAAGCATTCCTTATATAATACGCAGTGGTGTAATGTAATGAAGTAATAACCTAGTTATCGTTATCAGTAAAATCCACTGTCGGTCGACCTCTAGCGGCGACACCTGCTACTTTGGTGACAAACAACAATTGATGAAAGTTAACACCCATGGCCATATTTGCGAGAAATGTTTTCTTATGTTGGAAGACTTGGAACGAAAGAGTCTTCGTACCTGATGAAGTGCCTCTTATGCTTACTCAAAGATACAGAAATATTGACGTTTTAAAACTCACCATCCGACCCCAAGAAACACATTAAGGTCTCCACATTCAAATGAAAGAGTTAATTTTCAAATTTGAAACTGAATTTTTTTATTTACTTAAAACTTATAATAAACATTTTGCCATTTTTTTAATTAAAAGAAAATTAAATGGAATAAACAGAGTTAAAAATGAAAACAATCTGGCTGGTCAAACTGTGTATAGAACCATTTTTAATAAGATGTTTTGCTCCTTTTGTATATTGCATTTACTTGTACTTTTACTTTCAATGCTTAAGTATGTTTAATATCAAAAAATACTTTTCATACTTAAGTAAAATAAATATCTCATACTTTAAAATTTGTACTCAAGTAATATTCTAAACAGTGACTTCAACTTCTACCAAAGTCATTTTCTGGCAAGATATCTATACTTTTACTCAAGTGTGGATTTCAGGTACTTTATCCACCACTGATAATACGTTAAACTAAAACAGTGTAGTAGGCTATATGTTCTTTTAAAACCCCATAAAAAAAATTCTTTAAAGTAATTCTTCCCCCATCAAAAGGGAAGGAGAATGTACATTTTAAAAAGACTGTAAGAGACTTTACAAAGCAGAAGAAAATCAGGCGTTCCCTCAAGAGACTATGATAGACTCTCCTTTCAAAACACTTCATCATCCTTTGAGTGTAGTGCCAGCCCGTAAATATACTTGCTGCAAGACAATAAACGACAATCATACCTCAGCTGACGTTTAAAACTCAGACATGCACTTCTTTATCCCACACACACGCGTACAAACAAACGCACAGGGTGTCTCGCACACTGCCATGCACTGTGAGTCCTTTCAAATCCAATCACACATCAGCGAGATGCAGGCAGACCACGGTTGGCACGGTAACCTCAGGCAGACCCCCACTCATGAATATGGACGCCAATCTGAGTTTTAATCAACTGGAGCCATCGACTGGGTGGAACCACATTTGCATTTTTAGTGGCAGGTAGACAGTAAAAACAAAAAGATGAGTGGAAAGATTAAAAACAAGGATACAAGTGAGAAAGACTAGTTTACATCTTAAAAACGTATAGGCCTATATGGAATGGAATGAATAATTTTTTATTGGCCCCCAATGTCCACGTGATCCCAAACTATCTGTTGATCACATCAAGTATCCCTTCTTAGAGAGAAAGGACATTTGAAATACAAGTCCAATCCAATGATGGCGTGATCAGGCACTCTGAAATGCAAGATCCGGCCTCCTAAATTCAATCTCTTTATCCTTGTAAACCTAAACTGTCATCCAAATAAACCCACAGTTTGGATTCTGTGCCTATTTTCGCAATTAAATCACCATTGAAACGGTATATTCAGTCCTCTCTCTCTCTCTCTTCTCTCTCACTTCCTTAAGCCCACCTGCCCTCCTCTTTTGGTACTCACAGGGTGAAGTTCTCCTCTGGGTAACAGCGATTTCTTAATAGTCCAGCCCACAGCTGCACGCCAATGATGCCAAAAATGAAGAAGACAAAGAAACAGAGCAGAAGCACATTTCCCAGCATGGGTAGAGTGTCCAGCAGCAGGTTCACCAGGATACGCATACCTACACAAACACAGAAAAAATATTATGATAAGAAAGAATAACAACCCTAAGATATTCATTATTCTATTCGTATCCTTTCATAAAATGTGATAACATTTCCTGCCTCTGACACAACCTTATAATATTACTTAGCAAAAATGTCATAAAATCAATGTATTTTCACTGATTGTGCATTAATTTGTCACATTGCGGAAGTTAATGACATTGCCATTCCTAGGTTATTTTTACATCATCCAGTCATTTATGCTTCATTTTATTTGCATATAAAAATTTGTGTTACTATGACCGTCCACCCAGTTGTGACTCTTAAGAGTTTATCATCATAAACATTTTTGTATTTGCTTCTGCAACAGTGGGATCGTTTGTGTGAGTGAGGGTGTGCTCATGTGTGTTAGTGAAGCACTGCTTGGGATTGAATGAAGGGTGTGTGTCCGTTCTGATTGGAGAACAGCAGCATGTGATTACCACAGTGTGTGGGGTTGGGGGAAACACAACAGGGGACTAACAACACTGATGGAACACATTAACACACTGTGTCGTGTGTGGAAACACAAACATGTTATACACGTCAATGTGGACAGGTGAAGCAGTGAATATCTGGACCTCTGGACTGAAAGCAGAATTGTGTCTTTGGCTGCTCACAGAAAAGGCAAATCACAGTTAAAAAACAGGAGAGAGGATAAATTAAAAACTTGTGGCGCAAAGGTCAATCAAATGAGAGCTTAGTTTCCAAGTGGGATGTTCTTTTTTCTAAATATCACAACAGATTATTGCCTTTATCAATGAAGAAATAGTCAACCTCTCTTTCTCTGTCGTTCTCTCTCGTCAATGTTAAAGAGAAAGTTCCCCAAAAATCCAAATTCTGCCATCATTTACATAATTTATTCAAAATTTGACAGTTTTTTTTCTTCTTTTTTTTTTAAATACATGGACAGCCTTCCAGAGAGATAATTTATCAGGGTTCCCAAAACTTTAGACCAATGAATTTCAAAGACTTTTCTGGTCATTTGTGTTTACCTGATGATGATTTTTATTAACTCATAAAGAGCCCTTTTTGGGCAATGAAATATTTGCATAAGATTTTAAAGATTTTTTTCATATAATTCAAATATGAAATTGTACACTAATGTTCAAAAGTTTGGGGTCGGTAATTAGTTTTTAGTCTCTTCTGCTCATCAAGGCAGCTTTTATTTGATCAAAAATACAGCAAAAAATAGTAATATTGTGAAAAAGAAGTATAATTTAGAATAACTTTTCTATTTGAATATATTTCATTTCTTATCATGTTGAAATTGGTTGTACTGCTTAATATTTTTGTGGAAACTGTGATATGTTTTAATTCAGGATTCTTTGATGAATAGAACAATCAAAATAAAAGCATGTATTTGAAATAGGAATCTTTTAAATCATTAACGTTAAAATAATGTCTTTATTGATCAATTATACTGCATTTCCTGAATAAAGGTGTTAAAAAAATCTTACAGACCTCAGACTTTTGAACATATATAATCATTTTACAAATTTCCATGACTTTTCTTGGCATTGGATTTGTAGAATTCCCTGAAATTTCCAGGTTCTTGGTATCTACAGGAACCATGATATTGCAAACATTTAGCTAAATATCCATTTGCACATTCCCAGAAAAGGGAGGGTTTACAGGTTTGGAACGACATGAGGATGAGTAAATGATAACTGAATGTTAATGTTTAATGAACTATCCCTTTACAAAGCCTTGCATAAAACCTTGCTACAATTTGACATGCTACATGAACAGATAAGTGGATGTTTGGATGTTAATTCGATTCTGCATGCCAACATGCATGAGGGAGAGTGTGTAACGGTGTTTATGCACTGTGCTCGTGTGTGTCTTTGAAATCTGTTTTTATTTACAGGCACACAAAGACCTACATTCTACAAACATTTCCTGAAACCCTCCCTTGAACACTCGCTTCGAGCAGAAAAATCAAATGCCAGCTAATTCAGGTACAGGGTATAATACAGAAATCCTGGAGGTAAAACTTCTAAAGTTTTTTTTAATTCGACCCAAATCCAACATGTCACTGCAATATACAGTGAAAGTCCAAAAGTTTCAATACTGCTCAACACCATCTTTTATTCATGATTAATATTGCATTGCATATAATGTGTGCTGGTCAACTACTCTAAAATTAAGAAACCCATAGAAAACAGTAAAAACAAAAAAACAAAAACATTATGTGTACATGTGATTTATTTTAAATTGGCTACTTAATGCATTATTCCAATATCCAAATATGATACTAAATCCCACAGGGAGAAGGGCTTTTATTTGTGACGTGCTGTCTTTGCATTTGAGCACATTTTAAACAGGACATGCATTAGCGGAAAACGTGAGCAAATACAAACGTATTTATAGAAAACAGTTGACAATGAATAGACAGGAGTCCTGTCACAGGACCAATAATAGCAAAACGAATCACTTATTCTAAAAAGAATATCAAGTTAGTAGCCTATAAGTTAGACGAAACCGACATAATGAGGGCTGTGTTAACGCGTCCGTCATTTAACGAATTTTAAAAACACGGATGGATAATACAAAATGCTTCCTGACATTTTGACAGAAAAAACACAAGCAAGAACAAAGTTTAAAATTAGCCCGTCAATTTTCATTTTACAATTATCTTCTCTCTGTGTGCGCGGCCTGTGTTTTTGAGAGAGAGCTCGCACAGCACTGACACAACGGTACTTTTTAATCCATAAGTAACGTACGCGCTAGTTTTCATACAAAATAAATATGTAACATAATTGGTTACTTTAGTTATTATTAACACAATAATGTAACACATGCAGGCTACGTTTCTCAACACTGAGAATGAATAAATAAATGCCTGTTTCTCCGGACTTGCGCTTATCAGTCATCCACAAATCACAGCACTTTCATAATCACTAAGCCATAGCGATTTCAATTTTATTTAGATTTATTGTTCAGCATTACTTGAGAATTTTGTCATTTGCATGGCTGAATGATGTCTTCCTCTTATGTGAATAACCATGAATGAATGACGGAGTATTTCACAATAATCCATGCGATCACTCCCGTGTGATGATGGAATCCAGATTAAGTTAACTCGATACAATATTTCAACTTTCCACATCCACCCCAGCCCGTTTTCCATCAGGAGTCAAAAGTACCGTGACTACTGTACTCTCCTCGCTTAAATCAGCCAGACGGCAGGCCGCGGGAGTGGAAGGGGATCGAGCGTGATTCTTTATTGCTGTCGATTTTCAGTATCTTTTTAATGATGGGCCTCACGCATCTGTCAATCATCCCCGCTATCCTATTGCGTGCAGAGGGAATTTGAAAGACAACCGTTTATCCCGTAGTTTGCAAAAAAATATTTCAAAAAAATGAATAGCTCGTAAAATGGCGATTAATAGCCTACCTTTTAATGGCCTTGATTTTTATTAATTTGATTTACTACTTTTTAAAACCCCGCGGACACCCTGAGTTAGTATTTAGAATTTAGTATTTAGAATTTAGTATTTCGGTTAGGCACCGAAATATTGAAATATCCTGGGCTTCTTATGGAAGCTCAAAGAAAGGCCACAAGTTTTGGATGGGTGTGAACGTGAAGCAGAGGAATATGAATTATGGCGTTTGTTCAAGGACAACTGTTTTTCTACAGGAGGGATTAATCTGGCTCTTCTAATGGTGGTGGCAGAGAAGCAATAGCTCTGAAATCCTGTTTGATTAATTCCAGCTTTGCTGCTCTGGAAGACCTGCACGCCAAACACAGAGCTACACAATGCACGCTACCATGGCTTTGATGGGACAGGGTTTGAAGCTGACACATGAGGGTGATTTTGAGGCTTGGCATTAACACCAGAAAAAATGACACACAATGAATCGGAGCATGAGTAACACCTGAGGTTTGCAGATCACAGATTTTTTGTGGAAAGTGTATGTCTTGTTTACTCACTGGGTACTCTGTTGATGGCTTTGAGAGGTCTGAGTACACGCACTGTTCTGATGGCGGAGAAGTTGATGTTCTGGAGATCAAGGGAGTATTCCACCATCCTGAGAAATTCAAACATACAGAAAATTACTGTCAGTGTAAACAAACTGAGTGTTGTTTCTGCCAGTGTTGTAGTTGAGACCAGCTCATTAAAAACCAAGACCAGAGGAAGGTCGAGACTGAGTCCAAATGTTCAAGTTCATGACAAGACCAAGAAGACCATGAAAATGTGGAACCCTACCCTTATCTGGACTTAACACTGGCTTCTGCCACCCTTTTCATTACTTACAAGGGGCCATAGTCTATACTTTTGTAGCATTTTATTTTAGTGTTAGTTATTATTATATTATATTATTATACCAAAAACATTCTAATTATTTTTACATGTCCATTTCTAATCTCTCTCTAACTGCACTGTTTAAAAAATTCAACTAGCCAAAGGTTTTAGCAGAGCATCAAGCTGGTCAGACTGGTCTAGCGTAATGGTTTTAGATGGGTTTTGAACCATCTATTTTGGTAACCATCTTATTTTTTTTAAGGATTTATTTGTTTGTTTTTCATTAAAAAAATATGTAATCCGCATAACAATTTGAGTGGAAAAATCTTCACGGTTTGAGAATGATGCAAAGAGAATCTGACGGTCTGTACAGAGGTGTTCACATTGATCAGTGTCAATATTTTAATCAGGCATTTATTATGTATTGCATATACTATAAATCCAAACACTTCATTTATAAAACTTTAGGGCCAGTAAGATTTTCTTTTTTTAAATAAATAAATTAATACTTTTATTCAGTAAGGACATATTATATTGATCAAAAGGGACAGTAAAAAGCTTTAGTTTATAATATAAATGTTACAAAAGATTTCTATTTCAAATAAATGCAGTTCTTTTTCATTTTCTATAGAATATATTTAGTAGAAAACGGTTATTTTGAAATGGATTTTTTCACAATATTACTGTTTTACTGTATTTTTGATCAAATAAATGCAGCCTTGGTGAGCACAAGAGACTTCTTTCAAAAACATTTAAAACAAATCTTGCTGACCCCTAACATCAAACATTTGAATGGAATTTAGTCTTCCATCCTCAGCACCAGGTAACATCCACTGTTGGTGAGCAGCAGTTTCATATTACAGACAAGCCCTAGCCCTACACACTAAACAGACACCTCCATTCATCACCCTGACTCTCTCTCTTTCACACACACACACACACACACACACACACACACACACACACACACACACACACACACACACACACACACACACACACACACACACACACACACACACACACACACACACACAGGAGGACAACAGGTCGTTCTAATGCAACCCAACCCAAAGCACAACACTGTTCATCTTGATCTGACCATGTGTACTATGTCAGGGACTGAAGTGGTGGGGGTTCATCTCTCTCGTCTCAGTGAGAGCAGCTCTGTTTGAAATAGTTACTCACTGCTCTCTGCATCAAACGGCCCTGTGGGACTGTGTTTGAAAATAGAGGCCAGAGGGTTTCTTTTCCCAGACAGAACCAGACATTATCTGCTGTTGATCTCCCATTTAATCTGTATGGTTCATCACAGCGAACAAATCTAGATGCTGTTGTGTTACCAACAGCAGACACACACACTTTATTTCCACCCGACCATCTTAAAGCAGACACACCTCCCGTGATGTCACCAATCTCATCAGCCTCTCTTTGACCTCCATCTCCATGAGATGTTTTACAATGGGAGGCATCTGCGGTGAGAGCTGAGTCACAGAACGGGACGAATGAGTCACACCAGCCACTGAGAATATAATGGCAGCATCTCATAGCAGCAGAACAGGGAGTCACACATTCAACATGTCTCCATAACCACACAGCGAGAAATACTCCACAGCTCTCCAGAGCCGTTCCGCTGCCAAAACCCTTCTCACATACACGCAATTAAACCATTTAGTAGCGTCATATCATATCCATAGGACAAATCAGATATATACACAACATAAATACGTTTACAATTTCCAATGACATCAAAGCACAAGTTAACTCAAACTAAGTTCTGTGCTAGTCAGAATGCATACATCACGTTGTGAATACACTCTTTCTGTAATGCTTTAATACACGGATAATTATTAACTGAAGCATAAAGAATTACATTAGTGTATTCAGTATCATTATTTTTTTATATTCAGATCATTATCTCAGGTTTATACAACAAAAGTTTTGAAATGGGTTTTTTTTTTGTATAAAATGTTGATACATATTTATTTGAATATATAAAAAGACTGAATAATTGGTTGAATTTTTTCACTTTATTAACATTTTATTTTTGTCAAATAAAATAAGATGCACTTTAGTCAAAGTTAAACTTAATGAATATTACATTAAAAGCAACAAAAAAAAAGAAGAAAAAAAAAGAACACTAAAGTCCAGTTTATATTACAACCCACCGGCGAGTAGAAACAAAGAGCTAATTAAAATATTCAGTGGAGAGTAAACATCTGGTTGCAAGCGCTGCATTTCGACAGGCAGGTGCAGACATGCTGTGCCTTGATTAGAAAAGTAACCAATCATTATGACGCTACCAATGAGACTGGATGTTAATAAAAGTTGTACAAAGGGCTTATGGGACATTCATCACCCCAGTGGCATGGATTTCTCAAAAAGACTTGGCTTAAGGGAAAAGAGTTGGTAATTCTGAGTTGGAAACAGGCCAGAAAGCGAGAGAGAGAGAGAGAGAGAGAGAGAGAGAGAGAGAGAGAGAGAGAGAGAGAGAGAGAGAGAGAGAGAGAGAGAGAGAGAGAGAGAGAGAGAGAGAGAGAGAGAGAGAGAGAGAGAGAGAGAGAGACTTTGACTTTTAGGGTCTCTTTTATTTTACAAAAAAATATTTTCCTTCATATACAAATATTACAATCTAAGAATATTTTTTTTATTATTATTATTATTATTATTTTCTATTATTTTTTTTCATAAAAACAGAAATATCAATATTCCATAGACATAAATAACAATATAGCATAGGCAAAAAAAACAAAACAAAAATGTTTTCACCTTAAACATTAACTTGCAGATTACCATCAATGTCAACTTCACACACACATTGATTAATTCCCCATTTACCTTTAAAAGTCTCAAGATTGTCAACTAGCTTGTAATAGGCAAACTCTATTTTAACACGTGTTTTTATCAATCCTTTCAAAATTGATAAAACATCAGTTGACCCTGTGTCATTTAATTTTCCTTTTCGTGACAACCATATTGCCATTTTTACCTGTCCAAATAAAAAATTAATTAAAACAAGTACTTCTTTTTTGCTTCTACTATATCTTGGCCCATAAATAAAGACCATTGGGGTAAAAACGATGCCCAACGTTTGGCACCACCTCTCTAATTCAGCAAAAAGCATCTGCAATCTCCCACAATTAAAAAACAAATGGAAAACGGTTTCCTGTACCCCGCAAAAAGGGCAACCCTCCCCTATCTCTGGATCAAGGTGTGCTCTATGTCTGTTTGTAGCTATTATACCATGCACAGTCCTCCACTGAAGATCTCCAGTCCTCTTCTCAGTAGGAGGCTTGTACAGGGACCTCCAGCTACCTTTAGGGGAAGAGTCCACTCCAAACACCTCCTGCCATTTAGACTCCTTTACACCGTCCAACGTTTGAAGGTATAAGACTTTCACACACAGTACATACAGAGCTTTTTTTCCCAACATTACTTAAAAATCCAAGTTGGGGTGTCTCAAAAGACAGCAGTTCACCCTCCGATTCAGTCCATAATCCAGTCTCTGCAGAAATAGACAACTCTGGGAAGGAAAAAACTTCTTCATCATCATGCGTTTCTAGAGACAGTCTGTAATCCACAGGTAGAGCTTTACTTAACTGAGTCAGTATGTTCTGGGCGAGCCGAGTTGATCTTATGCCCAGTTTTCCAGCCAAAACGTCCGCAGATATCCATCCTTCCTCAGATAAAAATTGTCCAACTTTTAAAAAAAATGCAGTCTTTAGAGTATTTCTTAGAGATATTGACTTTAAAATATTCAAGTCCAATGCAGGATTGAAAAGAATCGGTTCTTCTTTCAGCCACATTCTCTGCACACCATTTTGTTCTCGAGAAACTCTGCAAACTGTCCAAGATGTTAAAATGGACCTGTAGAAAACTGTTAATCCAGACAGGTCTATCTTGTTAATGTCCATGAGGAATAAATGGCGGTCTAGTCCCATGTTACCGGCTTTCCTCAATAGGGTACAGGCGACTTCAGCCCAGCTCACATCTTCCCCATACAGGAGTTTTTTCACGGTCTGGAGTCTGAAGGCTTTGATTCTGGATCTTATGTCTACTAGTCCTTGTCCTCCTTCTTGTATAGGTAGATACAGCACCGATGCCTTCAACCAGTGTTGCCCCGACCAGAAGAAATCTACTAGGTACCTTTGTAGTCTTCGTACTAAATCTTCTGGAGGTTCCAGAATCCTCATTCTGTGCCACAAAGATGCTGCAGCCAAATTGTTGCAGACAAGCACTCTTCCCCTGTAGGACAGCTGGGGCAGCACCCATTTCCAGTGAGACAACCTCGCACACACTTTTTCCACTAAACCCTCCCAATTTTTCTTCCTAAATTCTTCTGTCCCTAAAAAGACCCCTAAATATTTAAAACCTGCCCTCCCCCATTTTAATTCACCCGGGAGTAATGGACTTTGAGGTTCTTGACCACACCACAGAGCATCGCTTTTGCCCCAATTGACCTTAGCCGAACATGCTTTATTATAACATACTAACGCCTTTTCTAACAATTTGACATCATTTTGATCTCTAATTAAAACCATGACATCATCTGCATAAGCAGAAAGTTTGATAGGTTGCTGAAAAAAGGAAGCATTAACATTCAACCCTTTTAACTCTCTTCTCAGTCTGCACAACAGAGGCTCTATTGCTATACTATAAAGAAGACCAGACAGAGGACAACCTTGCCTAATTACCCTCTGTACTTTTATCGGAAAACTGAGGCCACCAGCCATTTTTACCATACATTTTGCTTCAGTGTATAACATTTTTACTGTAGAAATAAAA